AATTCACCATTTAAAGGCAAATTGGATGGTTCCACCCACCTAACTGGAATCCCGGAGGATATTAGGGACCATGGTAAACATTTCGGCAATTTTTATTTACAAGCGTAAAAAAGACAAAAAATTCCAAAAGTTAAAGCTAATATCCACGTTTTTTAAGAAATTTTAGAGGTTTGGGGCCTAGTGTCGAAAATATTTGAGATTTTAGGGGATACATCTAGGGGTCATATAATGCCGCTTAAAGCCATATATGATCATTTTATGTTGTCATAAATGTTCGTGGTAGACTTGAGTTAATGAAATCGGTGCAAGTTGTAAACCGGTAAATTGGTTGTTTAAAGGCAAATTGGATGGTTCCACCCAACCAATACGACTTCGGAGGGTATTAGGGATCATGGTAAACATTTCGGCAATTTTTATTCACGGGCGAAAAAAAGTCAAAAAATTCCAAAATTGAAGGCTAATATCCACGTTTTTTGAGAAATATTGGAGGTTTCGGGACCCGGTGTCGAAATGACTTAAGATTTTCGGGAATATATCTCAGGGTCATATAATGTCGTTTGCAACCATTTATGATCATTATTTTTTGTCATAAATGTTCGTGGTTGTTTGAGTTAATGAAATCAGTGCAAGTTGTAAACCGGTAAATTGGTCGTTTAAAGGAAAATTGGATGGTTCCATCCACCCAATTTGACTACCGGAGGGTATAAGGGAGCATAATAAAAATTTCGGCAATTTTTATTTTCGGGCGAAAAATAGTCAAAAAATTCCAAAAATGAAAGCTAATATCCACGTTTTTGAGAAATTTTTGAGGTTTCGGGGCTTGGTGTATAAAAGCTTTGATATTTTAGGGGATACATCTTAGGGTCATATAATAATGTTTTAATTCATAAATGATCATTTTATGTTGTCATAAATGTTCGTGATAGGCATGAGTTAATTAAAACGGTAAAAGTTGTAAAACGGTAATTTCGCCATTTAAACACAAATTGGAGGGTTCTACCCACCTAATTAGATTCCCGGAGGGTATTAGGGACCATAGTAAATATTTCGACAAGTTTTATTTACATGCGAAAAAAAGTCAAAAAAATTAAAAAAATTAAGGCTAATAATATCCACGCTTTTTGAGAATTTATGGAGGTTTTGAGGCCCGTTGTCGAAAATCCTTGAGATTTTAGGGGATACAATATAATTCCGTTTAGAACCATATATGATCATTATATGTTGTCATAAATGTTCTTGGGTAGGCTTGAGTTAACTAAATCGGTGCAAGTTATAAACCGGTAAATTGATCGTTTAAAGGCAAGTTAGATGGTTCCACCCAATCAATTGGACTTCCGGAGGGTATTAGGGATCATGATAAACATTTCTGCAATTTTAATCTCCGGACGAAAAAAAATAAAAAAAATCCAAAAATGAAGGCTAAAATCCACGCTTTTTGAGAAATTTTAGAGGTTTCGAGGTCCGGTGTCAAAAAGGCTTGAGATTTAAGGGGATACATCTAGGAGTCATATAATGCCGTTTGGACCATAAATAATCATTATATGTTGTCATAAATAGGGGTGGTAGGCTTGAGTTAATGAAATCGGTGTAAGTTGTAAACCGGTAATTTGGTCGTTTAAAGGCAAATTGGATGGTTTTACCCACCCAATTGGACTCCCAAAGGTATTAGGGACCATGGTAAACATTTCGAAATTTTTTATTTCAGGGCGAAAAACAGTCAAAAAAATTCCAACATTGAAGGCTAATATCCACGTTTTTTCAGAAATTTTGGAGGTTTCGGGGCCCGGTGTCGAACAGGCTTGAGATTTTAGGGGAACCTTCTCTGCTTCTTACGATGTTGTTTGTAACCATATATGATAATTATATGTTGTCATAAATGTTTGTGGTAGGCTTGAATTAATGAAATCGATGCAAGTTGTAAACCGGTAAATTGGCCGCTTAAAGGCAAATTTGATGGTTCTACCCACCCAATTGGACTCCTGGAGGGTATTAGGGACCATGGTTAATATTTCAACAATTTTTATTTCATGTAGAAAAAAAGTAAAAACAATTCCAAAATTGAAGGCTAATATCCATACGTTTTGATAAATTTCAAGGTTTCGGGGCACGATGTCGAAAAGAAATGAGATTTTAATTTAGGGGATATTTCTCGGGGTCATATAATGCCGTTTGGAATCATAAATAATCATTATTTGTTGTCATAAATGTTCGTAGTAGGCTTGAATTAATGAAATAGATGCAAGTTGTAAACCGGTAAATTGGGCGTTTAAAGGCAAGTTGGATGGTTCCACCCACCCAATTGGACTCCTGGAGGGTATTAGGGACCATGGTTAACATTTCAACAATTTTTATTTCCAATAGAAAAAGTAAATACAATTCACAAATTGAAGGCTAATAACCATACTTTTTGACAAATTTCGAAGGTTTCAGGGCCCGGTGTCGAAAAGAAATGAGATTTTAGGGGATATTTCTTGGGGTCATATAATGTCGTTTGGAACCATAAATGATCATTTACATTGTCATATATGTTCGTGGTAGGCTTGAATTAATGAAATCGATACAAGTTGTAAACCGGTAATTTGGCCGTTTAAAGACAAATAGGATGGTTCTACCCACCCAATTGGACTACCAGAGGTTATTAGAGACCATGGTAATTATTTCGGTTATTTTTATTTCGGGCGAAAAAAAGTAAAAAAATTCCAAAATTGAAGGCTAATATCCACGCTTTTTGAGAAATTTTGGAGGTTTCGGTGCTCCGTGTCGAAAAGGCTAGAGATTTTTGGGGATACATCTCGGGGTCATATAATTTCTTTTAGAACCATATATGATCATTATATGTTGTTATGAATGTTCGTGGTAGGCTTGAATTAATGAAATCGATACAAGTTTTAAACCCGTAAATTAGCAGTTTAGAGGCAAATTGGATGGTTCCACCCACCCAGTTGGATTACCGGTGGGTATTAGGGACAATGGTAAACTTTTCAGCAATTTTTATTTCCATGCGAAAAAAGTAAAAAAAAATTCCAAATTGAAGGTTAATATCCTCGCTTTTTGAGAAATTTTAGAGGTTTCGGGGACCGGTGTCGAAAAGTCTTGAGATTTTAGGGGGTACATCTCGGGGTCTATAATGTCGCTTGGAGCCGCATATGATCATTATATGTGGTCATAAATGTTTGTGGTAGGCTTGAGTTAATGAAATCGGCGCAAGTTGTAAACTGATAAATCGACCGTTTAATGGCAAGTTGGATGGTTCCATCCACCCAATTGGACTCCCAGAGGGTATTAGAGAGCATGGTAATTATTTCGATAGTTTTTATTTTTGGGCGAAAAAGTTAAAAAATTCAAAAATTGAAGGTTATCCATGCTTTTTGAGAACTTTTTGAGTTTTCAGGGCACGGTGTCGAAAATTCTTGAAATTTTAGGGAATACATATCGTGGTCATATAATGTCATTTGGAACCATATATGATCATTATTTGTTGTCATAAATGTTCGTGGTTTGCTTGAATTAATGAAATTGCAAGTTGTAAACCGGTAAATTCGGGTCGGGTCAATAACAAGTCGGGTTGAATATGGGTCAGGTCAATAACAAGTCGGGTTGATTTCGGGTCGGGTTTGTAACAAGTTGGGTTAAATTCGGTTCGAGTTAGGAACGGGTCGGGTTGAATTCAGGTCTGGTTAGTAACAAGTCGGGTTAAATTCGGGTTTTGACGGGTTAAAACAGGTTTGGGTCAATTTCGATTCAAGTCGGGTTCGGTTCAGGTCAATAATTTACGGGTTACATTCTGGTCGGGTCATCTCCAGGTCAGTTCATGTTCGGGTTCGAGTTTCACATACTCGGGTCTAGGGTTGATTTCAAGTCCGATCAGGTCGGGTTTGGGTCACCATTTTTTCGGGTTCAGATGGGTCGGTTAATAATCGGGTTTGAGTCCGTATTTTGGGTCGGGTCAACTTTTGTCGGCTCTAGTCAATACTCCATGTTATGTGTTCATGTAGAATGCTAAGGTATCGATTCTTCAAGGTAAAAAAATTTCTACTTATTGTATTTCATTTGTAATCCTCATCATTATCATTTTATCTTATAATACTTTGTATTTTTTGTATAATTTTTTTTTTGATATTTTATTCACAATAATGAAATAAAATTACATAAGTGGATACCTATGTACTTATGAATAATATATACTGTACTCTTTAATCTAAACCTAGATAAAAAAATAATACGACCTAGAATATACCTCGATCAGCTTTTGACACTACGAGTATTATATTCCAAAGTCCAAGTGTCAAATAGTCGAAAAACAAGTACTATAATTAAATGCATTTGCAAATGGCTCCAAATATATAAGTTAACCAAAGGTAAACGCTAAATTTGGTTTATGCTCGATCTTTGACAAAGTCTAGAAGGCAATATACTTCACGGCTTACACTTCCCCCACCCACTTAAAATTCCTTAGTCAACCATTGCATGTTACATGGACTCAATTGCAGCCAAATTCAATTTTGCATATTACTTGCGTGAAAATGGAAACATCATTTAGTTTTGCTCTTTTTCTATTCTTCTTTTTTTGGACAAGAGTTGAGTGTTTGACACAGTTGCTGTCATGTAACTATGTAGTACTTGTATTGTTTGACGATAATGGAAAATGGTGCCCACCAAACAGAGAAATTCCAAAGTCAACTTATCCCTGTAATGTTAAGCAAACTTTTTGATACCTGGAAGAACTTGCTATTGGGTCTGCTCATAAGGGCACTATAGTTGGAAACCCGTAATTTGCTACGACTTACAAGGAGGGTCAAGGCGTGATAGATAAGCTAGTATGAAACTATGGACAGTTTGTCTAACCTCTGGACTCTGGTGTATTTTTAGCATAGCCGTATAATATGGTGTTATATTGCCTGACTAAATAAGAAGCACATTGGAAAGTATAGCATCTAAAAGCAGACAAAAATTTCTGTTCTCAAAGAGGGAAATCCTTTCTCAGCTGCAAGTATGCAACGTATGAAAGCAAATTTTGTAGTTGTAATTCTTGTTGACACTCTTTAATTTACCATCGTACAAAGAATATTTGTGTATGAAACATATACATTCTCCACTTTCTTAACAACAAAACTGCCCTAATTCATCAAACGCTATGTAGAACAAGTAACAATGTAACATCACACAAGCCAAACTCATAAATCATACAACATTAAGTCACCTACAGAAACACATGAGAACTAATTTACATGCACTTACCTTAATTCGTATCATCAGGACCCCAAGCTTCATCCCTCAAATTTTGCCTTGTAACAATACGGTTCCTTCTAGCATCTTCTTGCTTCCTCAGCTCTGTAGACCCAAAGGTTGATGGCAACTTTACCCCCAATTCTTGAGCAATCAACCTCTGAGCAGTTCTAGCAGATGTCTTTGGTCTTTGCCGAGGTGGGTCAAGGTCTAACATTATAATGAACATGTTTAGTTAGCAGAACACTTTTGCCCTTCACTCACCCTGATCAAACAGAGTACTAACAGCATACAATTGAGTATAACAGCATATACAGAAAAAACAGCAAGATAGAAGAGAACCAAACCAGACGCATGAAACTACACTGAACATTGAGTGAAAACTGCTTGATGATGAGCATGGTACATGCAAAATTGTGAGAGTGCATTGAAGTATCGAGTTACTCATCTAGAGAAAAATTGCAGATTAAAAAATTATACCTTTAATTGAAATGGAGCCAATCATGGGGTCATCTTCCTCAAGTACCCGAACTTTGAAAGAACAACGAACACTATTTAAGGCCTCAAGAGCTGCATTTTCAGATCATAAGAAAAGTATATTAACCGTGGATCTAAAGATATAAACTAAAGATGCATAATATTAATACTTTATCATACTATAATAATACATAAATGTACAAAGATGCACAGCTGGGAAATTATTGATTTCCAAACAAATTTTTTTTGTACATGTGTGAATGTGTGATTGAATCATAAACCTTGAATCAGATTATCTCCACGAAGAACACATGCAAGGGCCCAAAGAGGGGGTGGGGTAGTGGGAACCCAGCAAAATGTATTCTGATAGCAAGCTGACATGTAACTCCTCATATAGGACACAGTCGGTTTTCCAACAGTTTATCTCTGCCATAAAACAGAGAATAGGAAAATAGACCAAAGTACATTTACAAATTACTGCAACAGATAAGCTAGTAGAGCTTTCCTAGTATATTTATTCGAGGGATACAACAGCTAGTAGACCTAGGCAAATGAAGTTGAGCAGAAAGGGGCAAATCTATCTTAGTATTACAGGCATCTTCTTACATCAATGAATCACTGGGCACTCGAAATAGCACCATAATTCTTATTCTAATTCTTAAAGAATCCGATGCAAAGGAATATATGCAAAAAATTCACATAATTAACATGTATCGCCTCATCATAAAATAGAAAAATTACAGTATTCATTATCAAAATAATGACCATTGATGATTTATACTGTTCCAGTAAGGTTCAATAACAGGAAACAGAGTATGTTTGCCAGGGCGTCAATAGCTTTTAAAATGTCAATAAACAATATCATGCCAGACATGCCACGCATACCAGTTGATGGAGTTCGAAATACACCAAGAGCAAGTGTATCTTTAATCCAACGAATTGCAAATCCACGATCTCTAAAGCCTTCGAAAAGTCTCTCCAAATCTATTGTTGTCGTACTCGGGTGGAATCCATCCAAGACAAGGACATGATGTGTTCCATATACAGCTAACACAAAGTAACAAAAACATAAGCAGCTACTTTCAATATTAACATGCAGCACAAATATACCAATAAATTATAAATTGCAGTGATATATCAAGCAAACAGAATAGCATCTACTAAAAAAAAAAAAGCTTGTAGGCATGCATAATTGAAACTTCTGTCTTTTTCCATAAGACTTTATAACATAGATTAACATATTGTTTGGATAGAAGGAAATGAAGAGAAAGGGTGGGGAGGGAAAAGGAGGGAGCAAATCCCTTGGTTTGGATAAAGAATTGTATGAAGGAAGGAAGGGGAAGAGGAGGGATCCATTTTCCCTCAACTAAAAATATATCTCTAAAAATGGAGCTCAATCTCCTCCCTCCCTTTCCTCCTTTTTCCTTCCCCTTCCTTTCTCTTCCAAGTTGCTAGATCAGAGTAAAATAGCTGACCATAAATGAATATTTATCTACAATCAACAAAGAAGTCTCACTCACATTTTTTTCCTTCCAAAATCTTCTCAGACTTTTCATGAACATTCTCATCTGATGTGTCACAGGAAATAGAGTCGTTGATTTGCTCATCACTATACATTCCTTGTTTCTTATATGTGAAGGTTCCCCTCCCACGTCTGTTTGGGACCTTCTTCTCCACCTGCGTGTCATACAATGTAAGCTTTGACACCTCTGGCAAGCATTGTGGAGGGAGCAACTCATCTGGTGCACGATCTGCTATAGCTTCCCAGTCTTATCATCAAGGACAACAACATTATCAATAACTATTCACTATATAATATCAAACAGAAAATTGTATCAACAACAATAGAATACAAGATCATCAGTCCCTTACAAAATTCAAGTCTTTCGCAAGGCAAAGTTTACCATAATATATCACCAATTAAACCCAAGTTGATAAAAAAATAGAAGTATCTTCTTTGCTAAGTGCAAACTGTTCCTTCTACAATAGGAAACTAAAGTCCAATTAACAAAAGATGAAAAATTTATCAACAATTCCCTTGGTCCCAAATTGATAGCAACAATTTGACTTTTGCACTATTAATACACAAATTGTTGCCTCTTTATTTTACCAACATGTACAACAATGTTTTTATGTAAAATGTCATTGGAATAGTCTTAATGTATATTATCAAAATATCAACTTTAAGAGTAATTTTAGTGATATATTATTAAAGTATCCCCCCCTCCTTATTCCCTAAAATTTTGCTAAATGAGGGTGTGATGTTCCTTTGGTGCTAAAAAATACAAAGTACGGGATAGGGCCAAGGGCGGTGATGTTGGTGCTCCAAGGCATGACCATGTTGTAGGCATAGGGCATGGGGCATGGACAAGAGACATGCAAAAAGACAAGGCATAAAAAAACCTCAACCTTAAAAAGACAATGCAAGGCCAAGCCAAGGCATCACAAAACATAATAACGTAAGGTGGGTCAAGACATGAATGAGATGATTCTCGACACCAAGTAGGCATTCCGGGGTCCTTTAAAAAATCCGAGAATAACCTCAATGTATAATCCTGTTGGGTCAAAGATTGTTCTCCAGAAGCCAAATTTGAAGGCTATAATACATGAAAACAAATTAATTTTGAAGATTTCAAAACGTAGTGTTCAAAAGTCACAAGATCATAAAGGACGCAGCTTGGGTCATACAATGTTGTTTGGAACCATAAACGAATAGAAACGACTAGTAGTCAATCACATAAAACCACATGATGGCCTAAAGTCAAACAAAGGAGGGATAAGTTGTAAGCTAGTAAGTCGATAGTTTAAAGGCAAAGTAGACGGTTCTAACCACCAGGATAGCCTCCTAGGTTGTCCCGGGTTCCATGGGAATCACCTCGACCTCTTTACTTTCCGGATCCGAAAAAAGTTGAAAATTGTCCAAAACTAAAGGTTATAATGCACACTTTCAGACCAATTTCAGGACCAATGTTTAACACTTACGGGGAAAGTAGAGGATACATCCCAGGGTCAAATATGTTATTTGAAACAATATATGCCCACTAAATAGTCATATATAAGCCCATAGTAACCTTGACGTAGTTAAGAGTCAGGTGTATGCAGTAGAGTTGTACACTACTGCTTAATTGACGGGTTGAAGGCAAAATAATGGATAGTTTTGGAAACATAGGAATTACTCCAACCTCTTCTTTTCTTACCAAAGAAAAAAAAAAAGTCAAAAAAATGTTCAAAACTAAAGGCTATATTTCACGAAATTGGACCAATTTAGGAGGTTTGGAGACTCGGTGTCAAAAAATCTCGTAATATAGGGAATGCATACCAAGGTAAAATAATATTGTTTAGAAGCATATACGGCGTCATATAAAGTCTCATAGAAACCTAAGTTGAAAACAGCTAAATTGATAGATTAAATGCAAACCCGATAGTTCCAACCACCCAAATGGACTCTAAGATCGAGGGGTCCAAGAGAAGCACCCTGGCCTCTTGTCTTTTCTAGCCGAGAATTAAAAATTGGTCCCTAAAGACTATATAATGCCTGCTTTTGAGCCAATTTTGGAATTATTTTTCCAAAATTGAAGTGAATGAGTGAGGTGTCACTTAGTAGGGATGTTCACTTTTGGGTATCCGGTCCAAAAATTCGGATATCTGACATGTTCGGATCAGAGAAATTGCGATCCGAATCCGATTCGAAATTTTCGGATATTTAAATTTTGCCAAATTTTTGGATTGGATAATCGAAATTTCGGACTGGACCATAAGATTTTCGGATCGATTAGTTAAAATTTTCGGACAAAATTCGATCCGTATCTGATCCAATAACCCGAAATAATTTTCAGATATCCGAAATTTCGGATTGGATCATTGGATTTTCGTATCAGATATTTTTTAACATCTCTATCACCTAGGGTCATATAAGTTTATATGGAGCCATAAGAGGCATATCAATAGTCATATAAAATCTAGAGAATGAGTTTGGTACTTTGATTAAGCTTTGTGGCTATTTTGGAATTATGTGGCATTGGTGGTGAAGAGCCGCAATAAATAGCTGTTTATATCACCAACTTGGCATCCCGGGGTCCTTAAAGGCATTGGGAATCTTTCACCTTCCTAGGTATTGTGGATCATACCCAAATTCATTACTTGTCATAACATCAATGTATATGAAGTATAATATATTGGCAGCAAGGCCGGATTAAGATGTTACTAAAGCGAAGCAAATTATTTGAGTCACCAAAAGCAACCAAAAAAATGGTATAAATCCACAATAATTGAAATAAGATTTCTTGAAAAGTTGAAACTAAGATACATGATTAAACAAAAGAAAATGCAAGTATTAAGACAATGGATTTAGTTACCATACTAGTAGTCTAGTACACTCCAGCAGTTTAAGGAGCACTCACAAAAAATATGAAAAAAAAATGCAGTATTTATAAAGTTCCTCTTCAGCAAAAAACTGAATACCTTTTACATAGAGGAATAATGCAATTTAATATTTTGCAGTGTCATAGAAGAAAAGGATAACCAAATACCAACATTAACACTTCTTAGATCTCTATTAAGCACACTGAGTATATTTTCTTCAATTGCTAAGCTAAGCAGCACAATACAGGAGAGTCTCTTTCATAACACAGTTCAATGAAAAATCCTGGATAAGCCAAATCTAGGATCAAAACTCAAGATTAATGTTATCAGCAGTGAATGTTTATTTTCAAGAAAGCTTAGCCTAATTAAGCTTCATTTGGGTTCTAGAATTCAAAATCAGAAATTGAAGTGTACCACAGCATTCTTTAGACATTTTTAGTTCTCCCTCAAGAAATCTGTGATAAAATCCCCTTTTAATCTGATTTTACTTTATCAATAAGCATAAGCAACTTAGTGTGGATAAAATCCAGCATGGAGGTAACAAAGAGAATAATTCTGTTTGCGTGGAATCACTTCAATTTTGTATAATTAAGTTGTTTGAGTTTAGCATTATAAAGAAGTTAAATAACTTTCAGTGTCCTTGCTAACTACGTTCAAAGTCTTCATACTCCCTCTGGAGTCTGGGCTAAGAGTTTAAGTCATTTTACTATGGTCACCACAACAAATTGCATTTATAACAGAGCACATTTCTGCAGACTAAGATAGCACCTAAAACGACAGAATTAGGTTGATAGCAGGGAGCAAATTATACCGTCATCTGAAGACTCCTGAGGAGCTACATTGTCAGTTGAAGATTTTGGACATGGGTCATAATCCCCTGCCATCAAAGCAAACATATAATCAATCAAATATGTAACTTAAAAGGAGGCACAAGCCGCATGGAAATTTAACATTTCAAATAACAAAGTAAATACTTTACCTTCTCTGGTTAAATTACTCCCAGGCAAATTATTACTATTGGAAACCCTAGATTTTTCTTCTGTTGTGGAAGTTTCACTGAAATAAAGATTAAAACTCAATACCAATCCAATTATAATCTGTAAAATTTCAATTTAAAAGTAAAATGGAAGGATATACTGACATAAAGGAAGTAGAAGAAGGTGAGAGGGAGCGGAGGTTGATGGCTGAAGCACGAGATCTAGCGTCATCAGATTTGAGAGAGAGGCCTTTGCAGGAGTAAAGCTTGGCCACTTCAAGGAGTGCAGAGGCTAATTGGGGCTGTGAATCTGATGAATTTAGGGTCTCGAGCTTTGAAATTAGGGATTCAAGGAGGGATATTGCAGCCTCTATGTCTCCGGAATCTACTAAATCTTCCACTTGCTCACTCCAATTCTTCTCTGCTTCACTCTCCATGTCCTCTTCTGTTCTTAAAATTTTGGCAAGTGACGGAAACCCTTCTTGACAGTAAAATAAATGTAATCTATTCCTATCTGAAACATTAGACAATAATCACAATTGACATAAGAGGCCCTGATACTTTATCGTAACAATCAAGTGTTACTAAATTAATTTATTCAACATGATTTTATCATAATATTCTTCCTATATTATTGTATCAAAATATTCTTCCAATATTATGATTAAATCTATTCTCTAATGACCACTTTTTTTTAAATGCAACTGTTGTAGAAGTCCCTTTCATCACTCATTCACTAAAATTTGACATTTGTAATTAAATAGGCCTTATTCAATTCAGCTAATAAAAATTAGTTTCAGCAGTAGTTAATTTTGACAAGTAAAAGTTAGTTCTGATAAGAAATCCACTTTCATTTTTCCAAAAACAGCATAATAAACCAAAAACACCAGTGAATCAATAAATAATTTAGATGAGCAAAAATCAATTGAAGCTTACAGAATCTAGTACATCAATGTGAGAATTATTGATTTTCACCACAATAAATTGCAAATTGAATTGAAAAGTAACGAACAATAGTAATCTAATCTAGGTTAAAACAAGAATTTGCCATACTAAGCAACTAATAAAACCAATCCAAGATTGAAGCGAAGTATTATTACTCAAATATTTAGGTATAAAAGAGCTAAAATCACTGTATATATCAATTGTTAAGTGGAAATTCTAAATCAATTTCAGTAATTTTTCTTGAAATTTAGCAATGAGCCTTGTGAAATTAACAATTTTCAACACTGGAACTAATTGAAGGCAATTACATGAAAATCAACAATAAATTCAAGAAAAACAAACATAATTCAGATAATACTATCATACAATTAGGTGCAAAACGACGATCAAAGTTAAAGCAGAATCAAAGAACATACAACATTAGAAAAGAAACTTTATACAGTAATTCGCAGTCTAAAAAAGGGAAGAAATAAACTAACCACTAAGAAAATCAGAATGAAACGTAATTCGTGTGTAAACGGCGACGTTTAACTATTCCCGATGACTAGTTGCCGGAGGTCGGAGAATTTGTCGTCGGAGAGAGAAATTAGAAAGTCGGTTAAAAAGGATTGGGGGCTTCAGACATTATATCTGGGTGGGCTTTTATTTGATTTTCTTAAACTGGACCAATGTGCCAAATATTTAGGCCTAAGGCTATTGAGGTGACTCCGCTCAAAAAAAAAAAAAGGTAAAAGAAAAAAGGCAATTGAGGTGACTGGGTCAATTTGGTTAGATGACTTAGGGGGCAAACTGATTCGAGGTTGGAATCAAGAATGAAACCATAGTGGTATGGTTTGGAACTTGATTTTTAATACCATATGTTTGGTATGCTTATGGAATGCATTTTTTTTCTTTATTTGATACCTAAAGGCTAAAAGTTTGGGAATGAGCCAAACACACCTCCTCCCCAAGGTTTCTAAACCCCATACCTTGGGGGTTTGAGGTATGGGTTTGAAACTCTTAAAATCATAAAACAAACATAAGGTATGGGTTTAAACCATTCTAAACTCATACCTTATACCTTAGTTATGTGAACCAAACTCCCCCTTAGATCTAATTGGGCAGGGTCTAGTTCAAGTTTCTGTAAGGTAAATTATCACGGTGTCCATGCATGTTGAAATATGTAATGAGTCATTTTGAAGTTAGTTTTGAATTAAGTCGGGTCAGTTTTTAATATATATACTTATAGGAATGCTTCAATATTAAGCTAATATCTACATGTTAGAAGGATAACTAGTAAGTTAGGTGGAATATTTTACTTAGAAAAAATTGACAAAAATAATATCATTTTTTGTCCATTCGTTTAAAATAATCTCAACTATGGATTATAGTTAAACTTTTAGCCAAGGCACGGAACAACGACACTTATCGTTCTAATTTTTGCCCAAATGTCACGCCACGTTGGTCATTCACATTTATTATTATGACACATGTTGCTAAGTAAGCGATTTTTGGATAGAATTCTAATACATCATACTTCCTCTATTCTTTTTTTACTTGACCTGTATCTTTTATCACGTTTGCCAATACAAAACTTTAACGATCAATAACCATCTCGATAAGTAAAAATTATAAAATTTATATATTATAATAGTACTTATTGAGACGAATTTAAAAATATCTTACATGAATATGTTTTTCTTTAAACATTATTCACACAACACGGTCAAAGGAGGAGTGGTGAATAGTGTAAAAGTCAAAGCGGGTCAAGTAAAAAATAACGGAGGAAGTATATACTAAATTAATCATAAATTTTAATAAATATCCTATAACTCAAATCTATTTCCATCATAACATTTATTTCAAAAAGTTTTTTTAAAATAAGATTCATTTATATATATTTAATTTATTTACAAAAATAATAGAGAATAAGTGAAAATAAGTTTTAATTTGGAAAAATAATTTTAGTTTTGGTAAAAATACTTTCAATTCAATAAATATAATTTCAGTTTAATAAAATACTTTCTCTGTTTTTTTTAATTGACACAATTCTATTATCACACTTTCCAATGCATGTTTATAATGATTAATATCTCTAATTATCAACATTGTAATTAAAATTATAAAAAAAGAATATTAATAAAATATACATTGAAATGATTCAAACAAGATCCAACATGAATATGTTTCATTGTATCTAAAACTACAAAGCGTGTTGTATGAATAGTGTAAAAGTCAAACGGTGTCAACTAAAAAAACGGAGGAAGTATAACTTAAGTGGGATTATATGACAATATTTAATATTCAATCTAAAAAGTTTATCCTAAACTTTTATTAGCAATCTGGGCATCGCCCGGGTACAAAACTAATAACTAATATATAAAACTAAATTTTGAACCAAACCATGAGACAATGACACTTGGCGTTTTAACTTTTTTCCAAGTGTCGCGCCTTGTAGGCGCAATTAATTTAATGATTAGTATGACGTGTAGGATTAATATAAATGTATTTTTTTTTTGTAGAATAGGATATATAAAAAGGGAAAAAAACATTTTACAAGTTGGATGAAATAAAATTGAATAGATTTTTAAGATAAAACTTTTGATTTAATTAGAATTCTATTTTCAATAAAATGCTACTTGTAATATCTAGATAAAAAAATTCATTTTACAATTTTATTTTCAATAAAATTGAATAGATTTTTAAGATAAAACTTTTGGTTTAGAATTCTATTTTTAATAAAATACTAATATCTATATCAAGACCAACAAGTCTTAAGTTAAGAGTCTTACCATCCTAGTCATTTATTAATTGTGTATTTTTATCTAACAAAATTACAGGTAACTTAGAGTCTTATTATGTTATTTGTTTCCATTATGTAATGATTGAGTTTGACAACTAAAAAATGTTTATAGCAAGATTTAAACTCAAAACCCACTACTAGAAAACAAGCAAATTACGACGGACTTGTTCCGACGGACCCGAATTTCCGTCGCAAAAAGTGAAATTTCCGACGGATTTCAGACGAATATAAATTCCGTCGAAAATTTCCGACGAATTCAATATTTTCGTCGTAAATCCGTCGGAAATTGTAAATTCCGATGGAATTTTTCGTCGGAATTTACAATTTTCAACGGAATTATAGTCCGTCGGAACTCGTCGGAATTTAAAATTTCCGACGGAATTATAGTCCGTCGGAAAATTACGACGGAATTTTCCGTCGGAATTTACAATTTCCGACGGAATTTTCCGTCAGAAAATAATTAAAAAAAATTATACTTAAATTCCCAAACCCTAAAGCAGCCCTTTCCCCCTTTGTTATTTCCGCCTCTCTTTCTCTCTCTAAAGTTTATGCTCTCTCCTTCTCTCTCTCCCCTCCTTCGTTCCCCCTTTCTCAGTCCTCTGTTCTCCTTCTTCTCCTTCCCTCTTCTCCTTCGTTCTCCCCTCTTCTCTTCTCTTTCTCTTTCCTTTCTCTTTTCTTCACCGCCCTTTCTCTCTCCTTCGTTTCTTTTCTCTTCACCTACATCAAACAACGACAACAACAACGATACAACACCAACAACCGGGCTGCATCAATAACAAACCCAACAACCACCGTCTTTTTTGGTAGATCTTGTTTTAATTTAGGATAGATTCGTAGATCTAGTTAATTTTATATGTTATTGTAATGATAAATTGTAAATTTAAATAGATAATTGTATATTTATATATTTGATTAAATTTTTGTTGATTAAACATCGTTTTATTTTATGAAATTTTGATTAAATATGTAGATCTACTGGTTTTGTGTGTTATTTCTTGCTTTAGTCGTGTAATTTTTTTTTTAGGTTAATTTACGGTTTTGGGGAGTATTTTATGGTTTTTGGGGCTAATTTTTTGTTGTGGTGGTGTCGGTGGTGGTGTATGGTGGTGGGATAGGGTCGGCGGTGGTGTGTGGTGGTGTGTGGGTCCGGATGGGGGGAAGACTGGTGGTGTGGGGTGGTGGTGTGTGGTTGTGGTTGGGTCTGGATGGGGGGGACTGGTGGTGTGCGGTGGTGGTCTGGGGTGGTGGGTGGCTATTTTTTTTGTTTTTTTGAAACATTTTTACGACGGAATTTCCGTCGAAAAATTCCGGCGGATTATATTCCGTCGGAATTTTCCAACGGATTTTCTCTGGCCTGAAAATCCCTGCCGACAGATGAAATTCCGTCGGAATTTCCGTCGGAATAGTGTTTCCGACAGAAATTCTGTCGGAAAAGATGGTTTTCCTACAATATGTATTCCGAAGACCCGTTACGACGGAAATTCCGTCGAAAACCCCATTTCCGACGGAATTTAGGGTGTTTCCGACGAAAAAATTCCGTCGTTATTTGCATGTTTTCTAGTAGTGACCAACAAGTCTTACTATCTAAACAGTCAAATTTGATTAGCAAATTAAACAAGTACAAACTAGCAACCCGGGGCATCGCTCGGGCCACACACTAATTTTATATTATAAGTGGTGGATCAAGGATATATAGAGATACAATTGTACCCCCATTCTCCTCCCCTATGAAAAATCAGATAGACCTGTTAGTACATACAAGTATAATCGATATAACCAGTCTTCATATTATTACCTTCAAAAACTTGAGGCATACCAAAAGCACCAAATTTGATGCCGAGATAAACTAAGGGCAATAAATTTTACAAGGTTAGCAATCGGCGATCTTAGAAAACATTATTGTTCAACAAAAGGCATAATGTTTGTCGAACCATAATGTTTCTTAAGATCGCTGATTGCAAACCTAGTAATTGCCCTTAGTTTATCTCGACATCCAATTTAGCGTTTCCGGCACGCCTCTAGTTTTTGAAGATAAAAATAGGTTATTATTAGTGGTGAAGATACGTTAGAAACATAATTAGAGTATTATTTGACGGAGTATTATCTGCTCGATTATCTTTTAAAGACGAAGATAAAAAATTTACTGCAGCATCAAATATGAAGATAGTTTTTAATTATCTCATTAATTTATTTATTATTATCAAATTTAATATTAAATTATTTATACAATCCTCACCTTGGACTTTCTACGAGCTAAAAGAAGGTGATTGGGAATGATGAAAAAAAAGATGGTGATGATGATGATAACACTTGTAAAAAAAAACTTTCGAAATAGTTTTGAAAAATGACAATAGAAAAGTGAAAATGTCTTCTTTTTTTTTTTTTTTTTGTTTCCTGTTTTTGCTTTTTGGTTTAAAAAAAAATAGGAAATTGAAAACCAAAATTGATGCTAAATAAGTCTTTAAGTGACTTCATATAATCTGTTAATTTATAGATCATTTCACTTAATTTATTGATGTATAAATAATTTAAATATTATGTATTTTATTTAACTTTTCATATCTTATTTATTATTTTATTTCAACAATAACAAAAATAAATTACATAAGTTTTAATATATATTTTTCATCATATACCCCTGAATAATTTTTTTTTTTACTGTATTCCCATAAATTTAATTGTCTAATCCTATGATTTTGGTTCTCGTTTAATTTATTTACAATTTTAAAATAATTATTTTATGTTTTAAGGTGTATATTATTATAAATTTGTGAATACATACTATAAAAGCTAATCTAATTAATCTATAATACACAATAAGTTTTTTGTAAGATACAATTTATTATTAGAAAAATAATAAATTTTGTAGTATAAGGGGTAACTTTATAACTTTTAAGATAACTTTGATTCGTCTTATAATAAATTAATGTATACCTTCTTTTTTGGAGAATTTTTGTACTCGATTTCACATCTCAATTCCATTAGTAGTTTGTTCATATATGTATTTTCTCTTTCAATTTATTGGTACGTACATTTCTTTAGACACATTTGTCAACACATGATTTCAAACACTAATTTATTCGTTTATATATAAATATGCAAAGGTTATATAAAATTGGTATTTGAAAAATATACATTGAAAAGAATTCAATGTGACCGTGATAAATATGTTTTTCAAAAAATTATAAAGGAAAAATTGTCACAATTAATCCCAACTTTGCTCCATCCAAAAAATCTCAATTTATTCATTTTATTCCCCATCACTCCCAAATTTGCACCCTATTAATTTTTACGGCTATTTCACCAAATGCCACTAAGTACTTAAAAATTCACCAAATGCCATCGGACTTTTCAGAATTCACCAAATGCCAATGAGTTTTTTTAAAAAATTCACCGAGTGCCATTAATGACTAACGGCAGTTAACTCCGTTAGTCATTAAGGCTAATTATGCCACGTGGTGTATTCTAATTGGTTCACTTTATTATTATTATTTTATTTATAAAAAAAAATAAAAATCAGAAGTTTTAAAAAAAAAAAAAAAATTAAAATCAGAAACAAAAAAAAAAAACTAAACCCCAGCCACTCTTCCCACCGCACCACGGCACCACCGCCCCTACGCCAGCCCAACCCCTTGCCCCCACCCCCACCGACGACCAACATCCTCTTTGGTGTCGGCGGCCACCCTTCCCCCTACCCCTACCATCTCCATCCACTTCCCCCCTTAAACCACCATCCTCGACACCCTAAAACCCCAAAATTGAAATCTCCAAAATCGAAACCCTAAATTTCGATTTTAAGGTTTTCGATTTTGGGGTTTAAGTGAGGTGGTTCAGGGGGTGGAGATGGGAGGGGAAGGGCTGGTTTGTGTTCGCCGGAGCGGGAAAAGGGCTTCGAATTAAGGGAAATCGATATTGGGGGTTTAAGGTGTCGAAACCCTAGATTTCGATTTTTGGGGTTTTTAATTAAGGGATCCGGCGTGATGGTTGAAAGGGTGGAGCTCGGAGGGGATGAACTGATTTGGGTTCTCCGACGTGGGGGGGGGGAGTTTGCTCATCGGCGGTGGGGAGGGGAGGGATTGTCGAGGGAGAAAGAGAGTTTGTGAATCGCGGCTGGGTTGCGTCGTCAGCGTGGGTTGGCTAGGCTGGATTGCGTCGTTGGCGCAGGTTAGCTAGGCTGGGTTGCGTCATCGCCGGTGCGGTTGTTCAGGGCTGGGTTGCGTCATCGCCGGTGCGGTTGTTCAGGGCTGGGTTGCACCGCGGTGGGGACTGGCTGGAGGCGGAGATATGGTGGTGGCATTGACAGACGGTGGTGGGGCTGGGTCATGGTGGGTGTTTTTTTTTAAAAAAAGTTTTTTGATTAAGTAATTAATTTACTAATTTAATAAGCAATCAATCATAAGCCACCACGTGGCATAATTAGCCTTAATGACTAACGGAGTTAACTGTCGTTAGTCATTAATGGCACTCGGTGAATTTTTTAAAAACTCAGTGGCATTTGGTGAATTATGAAAATTCCGATGGCATTTGGTGAATTTTTAAAGTGCTCAGTGGCATTTGGTGAAATAGCCGTAATTTTTATCACCCCTAACCGGTCATCCAACCTGATGTAAGGGGTTACCAGACACGTGTCATTGCGTGATAGGTCCGAAATATTTTTCTTACAAAAATAAAATAATTAAATTAAAAAATATTAAAACCCTAACCCCTCCCCAGCAGGTGGCAGCCCTTGCCACCTCTAGCAGGCGGAAGCCCCTGCCCATGCCTCCTCCGGCCCCCTTCTCTTCCCCCTCCTTTGTCCATTTTCGACCACCATTCTTCGCTCCTTCTCCTTCCTCTGGTGGGTGATTTATGCGGCCACTGCTGGCTACTTTTCATGTCACGGCTGCGGCCACCACTCTAATGGTTAGTTACACATCCCCTCTACGGCTCTCCTTGACCTTGACCTCGAACAACGCAACTCATCCTCTCTCCCTAGCCCCGAACATCAAAACCCACCCACCTCCAATACCTCCTAAACCGATCAAAATGAAACCCCTTTCCCTTCAACGGCCACGAAATCGGCCGTTGAAGGATTGAAATCAACCATTCAACCCCAAAACCGGCCAAATTTTGCCATTTGTGGCCAATTTTGGTGGTCACTTTTGGGGATAAAGGGTTGTTTTTTGGTCGGGAAACAACCGCTTTGGGTTGGGGTAGGTTTTTCGATAGTCGTGGGCTAGTGTGTCGGAGGTGGGGCAGGGGCTGAGCTGTGCTGCGCTGCCGGTGGTGGCCTGGTGGTGTGGTGGCTGGGTTAGTTTTAGGGATTTTAATATATTTTTTTACATTTTTTTCTCTTTTTTTTCAACCAGTTAAAAATATTGACACGTGTGCAAAAAAATAAAAAATAAAAAATAAATAAAAAATAAAAAAAAAACACAAATGTTGAATTGTTTAACCGGTTGCAAGTCATTTGGGTGCAATAGGAGCGGATTGAGTACAAAGTTGGGATTAATAAAAAATAAACGAAAGTAGGGATTAAAATTGGCGGATGGAGCAAAATTGGGATTAATATAATCATGACAAATTTCCTATTATTAATTACACTCTTCAAAGGAAGCCAAAGTAGTTTATATGAATTGTGTCTAACTAAAAACATATCAGTAAATAACAAAAAGAGAAAGTATACAAAAACATACATAAATTCCAAAGATTTAAATTCACCAAAATTATATATTATACAACCCATCATATATACAAATTCAAGTTTATTGTGTCTACGAACCCTTACAACATATATAATCATCATCGATAATTCGATATCCACCTATTCCAATTGCATATGCATTAACAATCCCTACTTCTCCTATAAGCTACATACTTACGTACCAAGAATAATAATATACTTAAATCCTAAGTATAAACCTATACCAAATCTCCTTTGTTTAAATCTGCTTATCCTTTTTTTTGAATTACTTTTTCTTCATCAAGAATAAAAAAAAAAAGTAAAGATAGATGCATGTATCATGAGGGCCGGCTTTAATTATGCTTGGATTTTTTTTTTTTTTTTTTTTTTTTTTTTTTTTTTTTTTTTTTGGGTGTTACATAGGAAATCCAAAGTATATATATCGTCAAGCAACGAAATCATGTAAGAGTTGATGAGCAGCAAACCTCTTACGATTTTGAATGTCAATGCTTTCATACCCATTGTTAGGGTGAGAAGGTTGAGCCATGCTAATCCCACAAAAATCAGCCTCTCCAGTTCCGATATCGAGCCGCCTTCCCAATTGGTTTGGAAGGAAATTCTGCTGATGATTCCCAAGTGATAGGCTCTCACAATGAGGAAGGCCTAGGGTAAGGGAGACCGCGTTCCCATGGTATGGGTGCGCGGTCATTTGGTCCGGGTTAAACCTCCCAGTCATGTCATTCACTAGGTAAGGGTTGAATCCAGTGGGTGCGGCGGCATCCCCATGATTAGCCATCAGGAATGAGTGTCTCTGATGATGATCAACCGGTTTCATTTCCATGTCCATGGAAAGGATGCTACTTGGGGAGTTTTGTATGTCAGAGTTGCTTCTTTGTTTCTTTGGGCTTCGCGCCATAAGAGACTCCATGTCTGAGGATGACCCAATTAGAGTAAAGCCTTGGGATGAGGTCGCCGACATTGCTGATAAGTTGGATATCATGTCGTTGGTGGTGTGGTCAGCCTGTTGTTGGTGGGGTTGGATCACTGCACCTCCGTGATCTTGTTGTTCATGTTGTTGTCCCGCTCCTGTTTCTTTACTTGTGGTGTGATCATCATTCTTTGATGACTTGCCATTTTTGTTCGCGTTTGTAGTGTTGTCCTCCGAATTACCACTGTTTTGCTCTTGTGTCTTCACCTCCTCCAAGTACATTTCCTCCACCATTGGCTTCCATAGGCGGACACGAGCATTAATAAACCAATTTGACACCTATAATAGTTTGTCATACAAAACCCCTTATCAAAAATAATAAATATACGCACACTAAATAAATTTATCCATCACTATAGTCTAACATATGACGAAAAGTATAAGTATTAGTAGCTAGTTTTGTAATTCAAGAGTGATAATATAAGAATGATAAGCACTTTATGGAGTAATATATGTAAACCTACCCATTAATTAGCCTCCTAATGTAACAAGCTAAGATAAACTCAAATGTCTTTGCCATCATTAGTTGTTGTAATGAACCAATTATATTAATTTAATAGATCAATAGCTTGCTCTTGATTTTTGCATATAACAATGTATCAATAATCTAGCATAATTAAAGTAATAAACACCTAAGACATGCATATTAGGGATTTTTAATTATTATTTTTTTTTTTAAATGGACTATAAACAATGACTTAAGGTAATAACCTAAAATTTGTACATTAGCAACACATAAGCTAACACTATTTTGTTACATACTTAAATTTAAGATGAGATTCAAGCTAGCTAAGAGATTCCCAATTGTTTAATCAATGTAGCATGCATGCTTGATTAATAAACACATCTAATTAAGCATTTCTAGACAGTGTACTACATATATGCATGCATGATAATCAATGATGAGAATATAATGTGTAAAGTTGTTAATGAAGAATGATGATGAATTGTTATAAGTACCTGACTTCTTGTAAGCCCTGTCTGTTTAGCCAACATGTGTTTATCTGAATCCTTCGGGTACCTATCCATGCAAATACGAAATTGTATAAATTAAACAAACACACTTTAATTAAGTATGTACTAAAATACATTTAAACGTATTTAGGCAAGAGGAGACAACATAAGTAAGTATCTTTATTTAGTACAAGAAATGAACATACGGGTGAAGGAAGTGTTCGAAGAGCCAAGCACGAAGAACGGAGACAGCACGCTCAGGCAAGCCTCGCTGAGGACGCCAAGCGTTGTGTTGCATCATACCTAGCTGCTGTAAGGCACGCTGCTGCCTTAGCTGGTGATCAACAAATCTCAGCCTCGAACCGGCTCCTCCCTCGAGCTTCACCCCTAGAGCATTACTATTTCTTTCCTCTTCACCTAAGCTCTTACTTGTGGCCTTGATTTGAGACATAATCGCGTCTTTAAGACATCTGAATTGTTTTGAAATGGTCTTCAAGGCTAGAGATGTGTACAGTTTTGCTGATCCAATTCCTGCTGCCTGCTCAAAGGATGATACCACTACTTGTATCTGGCTGTTATATTGCCTGTATCTTTGCTCCACCTATATCCACAAATTTAGAAAACATTTATTTTTTAAAAAATATATATATATTGACAAGCCAAAAAAATTAAGTACTATAATTAGATGAAAATAATTTGTTAATTTTTCTTCAATATATAAATAGTATGAAATTTTAATAATTGTGTGGATTTAATATTCAAAATGGATGAAATAGGAATTGTATTATGTGAATATAATAATTGGTGGAACACTAGTCACAAGGAACCGTTACTAGTTAAACAGTAGTTCCAATTAATTCAAAAAAGCAGAGTGTATGTGTAATAGTTATCCTTTGCATGGTGGAAAACAAGTCAAACGAGTAAGGTAAAAAGAAAGAAAACATCCCCTTGTAATCCTATAGTGGCTACGTTAGGTTAGCTTAAATTAATTAATATTACAGTTACTAAATTATTGACAAGTATGTACTTTGTATGAATAATAATGAATTTGATATGATGTAATTAATTAAATCGAAACCAAAATTCTCTAAATTTAAGGAGTAGAAGTAATTAAAGTGGGAGTAGTAAATGGAGTAATAATAATAATAATAGCAATAGTTAATTTGTATGTACCTCATCCAACATGTTGAGCAACTTGGCCTTCTTCATCTGTAGTTCTTGTCTCTGAGCAGTAGATATCTCTGCTGCTGCCGCCTTCTTAGTACCCCCACTACTACTCTCCCCACCACCACTACCACCACGACTCGTACCCTCGCCGACACTTGAATGATCTCTGGCAGCCGCTTTCGCCTTATCCTTGTGGGCCCCACTTGAGTCCCCAATGCGGTTGTCACCATTATTATTATTATTATTATTATTAGTAGTAGTATTATCACCCCCACTATTGGCCTTATCATTGAAGTTCGTACTATTATTACTTCCAACATTCACCACTTCCTCAAGCAACTCCTGGGCCGGTTTCAAGTACTTGGATCCAATTATCACACCATTCGAGGCCGCCGATGACCCTCCTACTCCAGCTACTGTCACCTGCTGACCTTGATTCTGCTGCTGCTGACCTGGAGAGAGGCTCAAGGATAGACCCTGATGTTGAGCAGCCATGGGCCTGCGGAACCCCATCTGGTCCGCCATGTCTGGGCCAGGCTGATTAGAACCCGGGTTAGCTGCCGGGCTCCAGAGGTTGGGATGGACTCTAGATACTGATAACCCATGCAAAGCAGCAGGGATCTGATGTTGGGAGCCTGAGGAGGTTGGTGATGGACGGCCATGATCCTGAGAAGGGTGAGGGCCACTGGAACAACTAAGCGGGATCCCGATAAACTGCTGCTGCTGCGGTGGGGGCGCGTGAGGGAGGTTACCCTGAGAGAGCGAGTTGGCAGGGTTGAGAAAGAGCATGTTAGGAGGAGTTTGGCCTTCAGAATAAGCAGTGGTTATAAAGTTAGGGTTCATTAGGTAAAGTGTTTGAAGGTTATGATCTCCTGCTGCTGCTGCTTGGATTTCTGGACCTCCATGAAAGTATGTTGCCATCATTGAACTCTTGAGTATACAATATAATTTTATTCTTTAAAAAAAAAAAATCAAATCTTGTTAGAAAATATCAATTCTAGCTATATCTATCTGTTTATTTATAAGTTATAATATCAAAGTGTATAGTAACATGAAAAAGCTGGATAACTTATTCCCATGTCGTTTATTTGATTTGGAATAATTTGATGCTGAAACAAATTACTGGCCCCCCTTTTCTTTGTGAATTGTGAGCTATATATCCTGTAAAAATAAAAAGTTTGGATGAAAAAATCAGAACAAAAAAGAGCAAATTGTATGCATTATGATTCCAAATTCCATTCCATATAACATATTAGCTCATAATATTTATAATAATTCAATAATCTAAAAAACATACAAGTACAATAATACATGATTATATTTGTATACATATGCAATGAAAGGCTAGATCAAAAGATATAAGAATATTAGTATGTGAATATGAAAATATACATGAAGATATATGGATCTATCTAGTGTAAAAAAGAATTGTAATTATATTGAATAAAGAAAATAAAAATAGTATGTACATATATATGTAAAGAGAAAGAGAGTAGAGGAAGAAAGAAGGAGAATAGAAGAGTGATGACATGCCTTAAAAAGGTAAGAAGAAGGAATTGAAGGGGATCAGATGATTCTGTCAGAAAGAAATTGATGTGCAGCAACTTCTCTCCAAGTGATTTGGGGAAATATACTAAACAACTCTCGTCCTATTCCTATGTAGATTAGAGAGAGAAAGAGAAAGAGACTATAAAATGGAGTTTCTGACAAAGATAGAGAGATGGCTTCCCCTTATTATTTCTATGAGGAGATCTTATTTTGTTGAGATCACTGACAAAAATAAGCAATTGATTGAGAAAGCACCCTTTTTATTCTTTCTTTCTTTCTTTCTTTCTTTTTTTTTTTTTTTTTTAATATTAAATTATTTATTATTTTGCTTCTATACTTCTATTACATGAGATAGATAATGAAAGTTATGTCTAAGATACCTGAGAAGGATATATTTTTTTTTTTATAAAAAATAATTACCTCTTCTTTTCAAATCATTTGATGGAGGCACGTTTGCACAAGCATTCAAAAACAAAAGTCCCACTATTTTTTAATTTTATTTATTCATTTTAATTATTTATAAATTATAATTCTATAAAGAGAAAGAGAAAGATTGGAAAACACTGGAAAGTGGGGCAGGGAAGAAGCCAACAGCTGAAGAACGAGGAAGCGTCTACTTCCAACAAAACCCCTCTTTGGTCATAAAGTTGCAAGGGTAACAAAGAACTTCATTATTTAAGCTCAGTACCTTTGGTAAATTACACATTCGTGTTAGATTCGTTAAAGTCGGTAATTTGATTGTCATATGTTTACCATTAATAATTTCAATTAAATCTTAATATTTATAATAAACAAGTTGATTTATAACATGTTACATGATAACATTTACTATGTATAATGTTGGTAAGATTCTTGGTCTGGTAGTACTTATTGAATCAACAAAATTAAATTGTCTTTACTACAATAAGTTCAATTAACTGTTGTTTTTGAAATGCATTCATCTGATTAATATTAAGTTCTCTATATATAACAATAGTATTTCCACAAGTATTTTAAAGAAGGATAGATATAAATTGTATTATTAATATTAACTTTTTACATACATAATACTTATTTTCTTACATAAATTTTACGTACATTTACATGAGTATATTTATTGCTATATATTCATCGAGCCAAATATATTCAATAAGAACTTCACATAAATTTTACGTACATTTACATGAGTATATTTATAGATCGAAGCTAATAAGGGGAGTTCATAATTATATTCTATATGTTAGATAGTTAGATACACGAGACATTTAAAACTTGAATATGATTGCAATTATTCGTAGTTATATTTGAATGTATAATAGACGTATTGCTGACTCATAATGATTTAATTAATAATAATTATTATTATTATTTTAAAAAGGAGGAAGATAGAAAGCTAAGAAAAGTTGGGCAAAGGAGGGTCCCAAGTGTATTGAATTCTAAATATCTTGTTGTCTTTTTTCTTAAAATAATTATCCCTAATAGATTGTACCTATTTTTATGTGGTGTTGATAGGAGGGTAGTAATGAGATAAAGTGAATGATTGAAAGGCTGAGAGAGAAAGGAAGAGAGGGAGGGGTGGAGGTGGGGAAGAGGATGGGGGTTGTAATAGTACAATGGAGAAACCACCAACCACCTTCAGACAAATTTAAATTACTCCTCCTAATCTAATTATCGTTTGATCACACTATTATGTCATACATGGTGCTACTCTACAACTACCTAAACAATTAAATTAGTACTCGCGTAATGTATGTTATTCCAATTGAGTTTATTTTTTCTCTTATTACAATGTTTTTCTAAGAATATTGTGATTGCCTTATCAGTTATCATACATACACATTTCTCTAATTGTATATAATTAAGTAGGCGAGTCATTTTTATCTATTGTGGACGGAGTATAATTTTTTACTAACATAAAATATAGTAGCTTGTTAAATATAAATCTAGTTAGTTATCTAATTGATAACGAACTAATATCATAACTATATATATGCTTGTCCCTTTATATATATATATATATATATGTTGATCTATTAGTATACAGCAAGGTCCAATTAGTATCGCATATGTTCATAGATGGATGACACACAGGTCATCTGGTTCTCCCATACACCAATCATTTGAAAAACATAAATCTTCAACTCATATTTTATTCTATATATGTTTACTAATATAAAGAATGGCATGGACACCTTTTTTGTAATGAGTTACATCATATAATATATTGCACTTGTCTAAAAATCATTAATTATTAAACTAATTCGTCTTTTTGGAGGAGTGAGTACCTACAGTGATAAACACAATTTATTATATCAACCAAATATAAGAAAAATCGTCCAATTTAAAAGTGTTTTAGTTCAAGTACATACATTTTCGGCCAACCCTAAAATTTTCCTATGAGCCACACGAGTATAAAAAAAATTACATTATTTGAGATTGATATATTTTGTTATAGCTATCTTTAAAATGGATCCATCATTCGTGGGGGCGACTGATTTATGAGTTCTATTGCCTTTAACAAGAAATGCTATCATTCAACTTCCACTTATTACTTACTAAAGTCAATTATCAGAGGCTTGGTAAAAATGAAAGAAGTAAAACTTTATAAATATTCAAAAATACATTTTAACAGTAAGTGTAAGTCTAATCTGTGACAAAAAGGAAAGTTGTGCAACAACAATAGGAATTGAGTAACTGATGTCCTACCTCTCTTTCCATAAAGGGAGAGTTTATAATTGAAGATGCTTTAAAAATTCACTATTGATTTCACTAAACATATGACATTTTCCCTATTTTAACTCTTTTCTTTTTTCTTTCTCAACTGTTTGATTTTGATAACCATCCCCCTACCCTATTTACTTCCTTTTCCTTTCTGGTAGATTGAATTGACTCTAAAGCAATTCCCTGCTGCTTAATTTTTTTTCCCGAAGATCCTTTTCTTATCCGGTTTTTTTTTTCTCCTAAACTCGCCCTGTGTGGAGTAAACTTACATTACAAAATATGATGTACGGAGTAATTTTTATCGTTTTTTTTTTTTTTTTTTTAATTTTATAATTCGTGTTTGTTTTAGAGCAAAAAACTCAATTTGTTTTTTATAACTATAGGTTTTTTTTTGACAGGATTTTTTTGAAACTATAGTTATACTTGTATGAAGGATGGATTAGAGTAAACTTAAAAGTTCAATACTATCACTTTTTTTATTACCTTAAAAAAAATTGGTTACTCAAAATACCACTACAGTAGTATACCTAATTTTTTTGCACCAGAAAAACATAAACCCAATATATCAAAGTCGCTTCAAGATTGGACCAACAGGTCCAATCCCTAATATGTTTGTTGCTTTTATGCCTAAATTTCTTGGGTTTATATATACAACTAATACAAGTAATAACTTTTGAGTGTTATCTGACTGCATACATGAGCATGATGACATAGATTAACATTGTCTAATTAACTATGTGTCTATATATGAGTTGTCTGCTTAGATTAATTATATCATACTCAGTATTCATGCCTAAGAAACACTGTACTTTGTAAAGTATGTGATATCTAGACATTCTAGTCTATTGATTTTTTTTTATTTTTTTTTTTTTGTGTGTGTGTGTGCGTGTAAAATATTGACCTTTTAGATAGTGTTGAATCAGAATTGAAAAAAAAATGAATGGAAATGGAAATTTATTATCCATCTTAAGTTTATGAAATGGGAATTAATTAACCTAGTTCATTTTTTTCCCCAATGTTTGTTTATTTATTTATTTGGAGCTCCTTAGTCCAAATTATTAAAAAAAAAAAAAAAAAAAAAAAAAAATTGGTTTACCATGCACATGCATATATTTTACCCCAAAATAATTTTGATGGTTTGAATTGAAGATAAAATAATCCCGATTAAGGGCCTGTTCTCTGACGTTGAAATTCAGTTCAGTTCAGCTCAGTTCAGTTCAGTTCAGTTCAGTTCAGCTCCTAATTTCCTTCTCTTATAAAATATTCATTTCAGTTCAGTTCAGTTCAGCTCAGTTCAGTTCAACTCAATTCAGTTCAGTTCGGTTCAGTTCAGCTCCTAATTTCCTTCTCTTATAAAATATTCATTTCAGTTCAGTTCAGTTCAGCTCAGCTCAATTCAGTTCAGTTTAGTTCAGCTGAGTTCATTCAGTCAATGAGAACAGACCCTAAATATGCATATTAGAGATTTTTTTTAAGGGGATACCTTGTACTTTTAATTAAGTCAAATTTATAGAAACAAAGGGATTATTTAATAGTCAAAACACCATATAATAGGTAAATAGGTTACTAATAACCTGTAGCCATATAGATATACAAGTACATTTGGACCTCTAGTATCGAATTTCAAATTAGAGGGCAAAAATAGGTATCAGTCCGAAGTCTAAGGACAATAAGCAGAGCTTAATTAAGTATATGATTGAGAAGAATGTCTCAAATATAGGCTTTGAATAACTACTGCACGGAAATATTGCTGTGATATATATTTGACCCAAATCCAACCTTACCAAATTCTTAAAAGCATTAGGCATAGAGTCGCATTAATAAATAAATAAATAAATAAAACCATGGGCTAGTTAAGTTAGGGTTTGTTTGGCCAAGCTTTTGAAAAACAACTTCTGTTTCCCAGAAGTAGTTTTCCAGAAACTATTTCTAGAGAAACAGTTGTAAGAAATAGATTTGTTTGGCCCATCAAAAATCAGAAGTGATTCTTAGATTGAGAAACTATTTTACCCTGTTTGGCCCATATTAGTTTTTTTTAAAAAAAAATTATTTGGGAGAATAAATTAGTATTAATTTCTTGTACATTGTTGTTAATAATAGTTTTTTTTTTGTTAATAATAGTTTTTTTTTTTGTTTTTTAATAGCAAATTGTTTATAATAGCTTGTAAGATTAAATTTAATTTAAAATATTGAACAATTCATAAGTCAAAATACTTAGATTTTTTTGTCAAAATATAAAAAATTCATATCCAAAATGTCTGCTATTATTATTCCTAATAAAAGATCCAATAATGTTACAATCCACGACTCATTAGAGAAGTTGCAATATTGTAGCGAATAGACTCCATACTAAAATCATCCATTGATCCATCATGTTCTTCAAGAGTAGTTACCGGGTTGCCTCCAATATCCTCATCCCCTTCAACTTTAGGTATGTAATAAGGATCTGCATCACATTTATCAAATTCCAAATCTTCAAGCGCGTGTCTTCTTATATAGTTATGCTTAGCCATAGTAGCTGCAACAAGTTTCTTTTGAGTTTCCAACGAAAAGCTGGGCATAATTGATAATATCCTCCATCTTTTTTTCCAGACACCAAATGTTCTCTCTATAACGTTTCTCAATGACGAATGTGAATAATTAAAGACCTCGTAGAAACCATTTAGAGGTTGTGTTGAACGACGAAAATCAGGAACATGGTATCGTTCGCCTTTAAAAGGAGCCATAAATCCTTTCATATTCGGATAACCCGCGTCAACAACATAATATTTTCCTGTACATTGTACAATATTAGATAATGACAACATAGTATAATAATGGTAAAGAAGATAGTATAATATATAGTTTCATAAATATATACCTTCGGGTGGATGAGGGAAATATTTCTTGCGGTCTTCCATTGCGTCTTTTAAGATTCGATTATCATGAACAGATCCCGGCCACCCAGCAACAAAATATGTAAATAACATGTCGAAGTCACAAATTGCTAAAACATTTTGAGTAGGGTTACCTTTGCGCCCAATGTAAGGGATTTTATCCTCCTCCGAAACAACACATGGAATATGAGTTCCGTCAATGGCACCAATACAATCCTTGAAATGTGGCCAATATTTATAATTATTTCGTATCTTAGTTGGAACCTCCTTGAAGTTTGGATCAGAAGGTCTTACAATATCTTTAGAAAATCTTGTCATTGCTTCAAGAACTTCATTGAATTTTCTACTTATTGTTTCACCAGAATGTTTAAAGCGATTTTGCATATTACGATTAGATTGAAATTGTGCACATAAATATACGAATATTCCGAGTGCTTCTTCAGCAGGCATGGTCCTAGTTGACTTTAATCCATATTTATCCATTAATAATTTAGCAAGACTATAAAACTGATAGGCCGTCGTCGAGCCTACCAAAGATAATAATTCCTATCTTAGTCTCACTAACAATAGTAAGGGTAAGAAAGGGTCGAACCCAAGAGAGGCGTTGAATCAACCACCGAGTACTACCGTTTAAATAAGCTAAACGAATTCTAAATTGGGTTGGTTTTGAGTAACTTCTTCTAACACAATTCAACTAAGCTAAGAGGAGGTTAACAATATTTAGAGGAATCTAGGGCTTGGGTTATACCACTCAACTTCATCACAAATCACAATTAGCATGCAACAATCAAGGTAAATTAATGGGATAAATTAGGGGAAGTCATCTAAAGCACCCAACTACTCTCTCAAGCTAGAGGGATTACTTGAATCATGAATACAACCTACTCTCGTGGTTACATAGCATAAAACAAGTGTTAAAGCATAATCACGATGACATAAACATTCCCTTGACCGGTAATCCCTATTCTCATGGCATTTCGGGTCAATCAAGCATAAGGGAGCTAACTCAAGTTCATCTCTCGATCCTTCGTTGAGAAAGCTTGGATAAATAGTTCTAGCAATGGCCATATACAAGAACTAAGCAATTAAACCACTTAAGCTCAACTAATTAACATCCCACAACAACCAAATTAGCACATGCAACAAGTAATTAGTGACTACATTGAGGGTTTTTCCCAAACCCTAGAATTTAGACTACTCACAATCCATGGGGGTTAAAGCAATTAAAGTTTTCAAGCAATTCATGAACAAATTCAAACTAAGGATTAAGCTAATTAACAATCCAAAACATGCAAGAACTAGCAAATAATCAACAACAAAGTAAAGAGAAGTAGAAAAGATGAGTAAGAAATGGTTACTATGAAGCTTCAAGGTGAGCAACAATGGTGGAATTTGTCTTCTACAATGGTTGAATTTGAATAATTCCAAGCTAATAATTGAGAACTAACTAATGATTTGAGAATTTAATGTTCTAAAACTACAAACTAAGAGAAAAGCTCTGAAAAACTGCCTCCCCTACTTCAAATGAGCTCTCAAGGGGTATTTATATGACCCCAAAATAAAAAGGACGGAGAAAACAAGGAGGAAGTTCGACTGCAGGTCTGCACGGACGTGCCAGATTTGGCACGGACGTGCAAGGCTAAGCACGGTCATGCCAAGTTTGGCACGGACGTGCAGAGGGGGCAGAATTGAGGCAGAACGTACTGCTAAGAATTGAGCAGTTCCGCACGGACGTGCAGATATTGGCACGGACGTGCAGCTACATCTGCACGGACGTGCTTAATTTGGCACGTCCGTGCAGGCCTTGGCAGAATGTTCTGAGTTTCTTGAGCACCCTGCACGGACGTGCAAAGTCTGGCACGGCCGTGCACCCTCTTCTGCACGGACGTGCCAGATTAAGCACGGCCGTGCAGGCCTTGGCAGCATGCTGAAGCTTTCTGGAACCTCCTGCACAGACGTGCAAGGTCTGGCACGGCCGTGCAGGGTCTTCTAAGCCCCTTTTTTCATCTTTTCTTCTATAATGCTCCTTTCCTTGGCTTCTTTCATCCATCTTCTTGCTTCTAACCTCGGGCTTTGTATCCATGGGCTCCATTTGGTTGTTCTTTTGAACCTAAAATCTCAACAAAAACACCAACAACCCGTGAAGCATAGGATACACAAAAATTGCATAATAATAGAGTAAAAATGAACCAAAACGCAATTTTTATCAAGTAAACAAGGTTCAAAACACCCTAAAATCGTATCAAATAGCAAGTTATCAAAAAAACATGGGGTTCCATTCTTAATATCCTATAACTTTCACCCGATGTAGATAAAACCTCTTGCAACCATTGCCATCCAGAACATAACGAAATCCTAGTAGGCTGTTTAATTAAATATTTAAGATAGTATTTGGTAAGTATCGTTACCCCTGTGGCGGCATATAGCATCATTTGTTAGTTGTTCTTGAAGTAATAAATCTTCATCGTCTTCTTCTTCGGAGGAGGATTCATCAATTACATCATCATAAGCACTTCCATTTGAACTAACCTGATTAAAAAAAATAAGGAACCAATTAAAATTGTATACTTTAAAGTAAACCTTATATAACGAAGCAACTATAAAAAGCTAATATTATATGAGAAAGTATAATGATAATAATATATAACAAATACTAAGAAAATCAAAATAACTGACATAAATAAGAAAGTTGGTCTGTTACAACAAGGTAATTAAAAAAAAGTAGCAATCAAAGCATAAATACAATGTTTCATAACAAATAAAAAAATAATTAACGTTGAGAAGCTTTTTTCTCCCTTTCCAATTCTTGCTCAAGCCAACAACTCCGTATATTTTCATCAGGAATACCAACAAACATCTCTCTATATTCTCGTTTGACAAATAAACGAGTTCCTAACATATAAAGTTCACTTCCTATTTCAACCCCTGGTGTTGTAGCTAGCAATGTTAGACACTCTCCAATGCTACAACCAGGAAGATCAGTTCTTTTTGAAGTTACAGTAGCACTAGATTGAGAGAAATTCTCCATCGCACCAACAATACGTTTTAGCTCATTTTGCATGAGCTTAGCTGTGCTAACTTTAGATTTATTTCCTTTTTGTGTTTTTTTTCCTTTTTCTTCCGATGTTGTATTGACTTTGATCTTGTCAATGCTTTCACTTTCAAGCTGTTGAGATATTGTTTCATTGATACTACCATCCATAGTAATGTCAACTTGTTCCTCATCTTCTATCTCTTCGTTTCCTATGGTAGTCAAGTCTTCTATTTCAATATCATCTTGTGAATAAGGGTTCCATGAAGTTGTAGCAGAAACAATTATTATAGCAAACATGATCTCTAACTCTGTTAAATTTTGGATTCCAGCTTCACGAAATTTAGCAACACTCGGATTGGCCTATACAAATAAATAAATGTAATTAGTTAAAACTAACTACTTGAAAAAAGGCAATGTACAAATCAGATTATTGTTATGCTCACCTGTTCTTGGAGTGCCCACCACTGATCGGATGCAACAATTGTATTTTTCTCATGATCCCATCCTAACCCTGTCTCCTTTTCTACGAGATTCTTCCATGTAGCGTACTCCATTTTTAACTTCTCCCACTTGTTTTTTAATTGCTTCTGGTCATACTTTTTACCAGACCTTTGTTGGAACTTTATAACCACATTATTCCAACCAATTTTGCTAAAATGAGTGTGTGGTCTATTCCCTGCATGGACCTCTTCAGCACAAACCTCACAAAAAATCTTAGTTGTTTCATCAGACCAAGTTGCTTTTGACCTCTTTACTTGTTCGTTAATCTAAAGACAAACAAAGCCATGAAACGTTGTGCATTACGCATAAGCTTCACCAACCATACACACAACATAATAATGTAATCTGCCTCCCAAGGTCACGCTTTATAAATTCTACCAGCATTATATTGACAAACCTTACAACATACAAGCCGAGTACTCTTTAAATCCAACATGCATTTCATTCCCTAATATATATATATATATATATATATATATATATATATATATATATATATATATATATATATATATATATATATATATATAAAGCCCATTCATAACATGTTCATTAATTTGTTGATGCATAATGTATAGCCAAACTTTATTACTCACCTTTAAGAGAGGTTAGGTAATGGTTCCCTGTCTATAAGTTCTTACAAAGAATATGATACTATGACATCATAACCTCAATACCTCAAAAATATATTTCAACCATTCCACTATCACCTTGTCCGGATATAAGCAAGTAAATTTGATACCAACACAAGAAATGAATATACTAAATAAACATCCAACTACGTACATATACTACACCATTGTCAACATAGATCAGAAATACCCATGACTATAACCCTTAAATATAACTTTCAATTAGAACGAGATAAACGTCCAATTATATGGCCAAGTGGCCAACTGCCCAAAATTTTCACTGCACAGCTATCAGTGGCATATAATAAACCACATCCATATATGTAGAGGTATAACAGGTACTGCATAGCTTGTAATGGTTAAAAGAGAAAGAAATCGATAATTCATCTTAACAACTTATAATATCAAAGTCAAGACTCTCAAGGAGGCCTTATTTATTTATTTACTCTGATATAGCAACAAGGCACACAATATCGAGGTACTCAGCAATCCCTTTGTCAAAAAACAATAGTCAATTATAATACAATATTAGGAATTTAGGATGTTCTAAAAAAGTAGATACATTTCCTAACTTTACCAATTAATAAAGACCATAGTTCTAATATTGTCCCCAACTGTCAATCTGACACCCCCTTATGCCCCAGAACAAGCAGTCTAGCAAACAACTTCCTATCTCTAGCTTAATGACTTTGCATATTTCTGGGCTCTAATGCTGTACTAGACAACAACTATATCGAACCCACTACGATTACAAATAACTTCAATGTAACATATATGAAAGAAAAGCTTCCGAGTTCTAATTTTTCATTACTGTGTATGAGATTAACAAGCTCAGCCCTTACAGATGACATTGTTTTTAGTTTCGACTGCTATTCCGCCTAAACCACATTAAACTTATAACCATACTATATTTAACATTAATTTCATGGCATTGTCCTAACACAGGTATCATTTACCCAATCTTTAAATTCTAAGAATACCCAGAAATTGAATTTGTGTAAACGGTTAGTATTTTGCTAAATTGAATCAAAAATGAAATTTTCAAGATCTATATTCTGGACCAATTCACTAACCTCATTGGCAGAACTTCTTGTTCGTGAAGTATTGGGATGATTTGGATGAGGAGAACCACTGAGATCTATAGCTTTCTCCTATTTCAAAATTAATGCAAAGAAATTAGGGTTCTACCCACAAAAGAGAAAATTTTAATAAGTAAAAAAACATTACCTTATTATTGCTTGGTTGTGTCCTCTTGGGTGGACGAAATGGTGGCGCCGGTGGTCTAGGAGGACCGGATTGCATGTCGTCGGACGCCG